TGGGAGAGTAGAGTTAACCTTGCAGAGAAGCACATGACGGGAAGCTATTCCTGGACGGAGTTAAGTCTGAATCCAGCCAGTGAAGGTAAGGGGGCGGCAGGGCAGGAGCGGGCAGGGCAGGCCAAGGGTGGGTCCTGCACGGGAACCCCCGGGAAACCAAATCCTGAAGAGCACAGCCGGGACTCAGAAGTCAGGACCCACACCCCACAGCCCCGCCCCACAGGGAACCCTCACAGTTCAAGGTGCAATTTAGGATGCATTTCACTGAGAAAACAACCCCACCCCCCTGCAACACTGGCTGTCCAGGAAAAACAATTACCCCAAAATTTGAGCTCAGAATAATGGAAGAAGCCATTGGTAATAACAGTTAATATTTTTGGAGGACTTACTGCATGCCATTAGCTCACTTCATCCTCCTCACAATTCCATGAAAAATTAAGAGTCCCCCTGACCAGAGAGAAAACTGAGGCTGGCCAGGCAGGACTGAGCAGGCTCGCTGACTACTCAGATCCTGAGCCAAGACCCTGTTAAGCACTTCATTCCAGGCCAAAGGCTTTTGTCCGTTTTTATGACCATTAACCTCCTGCTGAGATGCACAGTAAGCACAGCCTTGTGCTCTGGGTTAAGACTGAACCTGTGACGATGGGCCAAAGGTAAGGCACTCAGGGCCACCACCTGAGCACGGGGCAACGTGCTCCTGGGGAGGTGCTGTTAAATCTGCGTTTTCAACATTAAAACAGCAGCTTTTGACTTTTTTCCCAGTTGGAATAGTCGTGAGAATATAAAATAGGCTAACATTGCCATATTGGTGATAACAGAATCCAAAAATCTATCTTCTCTAGATGTCCTAACATTTCTAGTAATGAAACTGCTTTGATATCACAGTGAAATTGAAGGTGATTTTTCCATCAACCAAGACCCTCCACACCAAAAAGGGCACGGGAGCTGCAACAATTGTGCTTCTGGGAAGTCAGTAGGGAGAGAGAGACAGGGAGGCCTGGCCCTGGACATTATCCAGACAGTCACCCACTGAGCACCTGCGATGGGCTAGGCATCTGCCATCCACCATCAGGTGGTGAGAAGCGTCATTAGGAAATTAAAAATGAGAGAGAGAGAGAGAGAGAGAGAGAGATGACTGGCTGGGGAGGGAGTGAGGGAAGGCCTCTTCAGCACAAGCTCTGAGCTGAAACCTAAACCAGAAGGAGCCAGCAAGCAGTGATCAGGGGAAAGATTCGCCCAGAGGGCAGGCACGTCCACTGCAGACGCCCTAGGAAGGAGACACTGTGACCGAAGCATCCTGAACAAGAGGGAGTAACTGGAAAAGAGTCCACAGGAGTGAGATCCTTGCAAACCCTGGGAAGGAGTGAAAAGCCCCCTGAGGATTCTCACCAAGGACCAACAGTCAGACTCATCTTCAGATCTCATTCTGGCTATTATATGGGAAGTGGCTGCTACTCTTTGCAGGTGAGGAGGGACCCGTTTACACCAAGGCCCTGGCTCAGCTTGACCAGCGGGCAGCAGGTTCCCTATTCACAGGCATGAAAAGAGTCAACCTCTTCAGAACCAACTCCGGATACTAACTCACTGGCCCTGCTCCTAGGATTATCTGAAAATTATTTCTAAAATTACGATCGAAGCCCGGCCGGTGTGGCTCAGTGGTTGAGCATTGACCTATGAACCAGGAGGTCATGGTTCCATTCCCGGTCAGGGCACATGCCTGGGTTTCGGGCTCGATCCCCAGTGTGGGGCGTGCAGGAGGCAGCTGATCAATGATTCTCTCTCATCACTGATGTTTCTATCGCTCTCTCCTTCTCCCTCAACCTTCCTCTCTGAAATCAATAAAAATATTATAAATAAAATAAAAATATGATGGAAAAACATAGTTATTGTTAATATAAAAAATAAATGTGTTCCATTCAGCACTTTAAGAAAGTGGATCAGGCCCTGACCGGTGTGGCTCAGTTGGTTGTAGCGTCGTCTTGTCCACCAAAAAGTGGCGGGTTCGATTCCCATTCAGGGCATATATCCAGGTTTCATGTTCAACCCCCTGGTCAGGGCATGTGAGGGAGGCAACCGATTGATGTTTCTGTTTCTCTGGCTCTCTCAAAATCCATTTTTAAAAAGTGGATCAGAATAATTTTCTATAAATTATTTATTTGTGACATATGCACTGCTTACTTCCAAAAAAACACTTGAAGCTATTGTTATGAAGGCCAAGAGCAATGGGACAAATTAAAATTCTCCCTGGGAAAATGTTGACTATAGGTTGTATGTTACAGCATCAGTTTGGAAGGTTAACACTACAATTTAAGAGGTTTTAAAGCCCAATTTGTTCTGAAGGTTGAGTTTAGCTGCATATACAGCCTCGTCAGGGGCCAGGTCCTGGCTGTGCCCTCACTGTTACCCACTTCTATTTCTCCTTTATCCTCTCCCAGTACCAAACCACTCATTTGGGTGGTTTTGCTGCTCACTAGCACCCCCACTAGAGACTCTCAGGCAGGAAGGACTGAAATGCCCCTGGGTCAGCAGTTTCACTTCTGCTTCTCTGTGGCTTGGAGGGATGGTATTTGTATGTATGGAGGTGGGAGGATTCCTGGATTAAAGTGATGGGAAGGTGTTAATTATCCATTCTTCTACAGTGTAGCACCTACATACACAGTCCACCGGTCTCCTCCTGTCTCACTACACAAACCACTTAGATCCACAATGGGCAAAATGAAAATCTTAAAGCTAGACTGAGACTTTAATTTCCATTTTTAATCTCTTCGCACAGCACTCTTACTTCTGCTCGAATTCTGCCAGCGAGAATCCCACCCTTTAAGCCAGCGGTTCTCAACCTGTGGGTCCCGACCCCTTTGGGGGTCGAACGACCCTTTCACAGGGGTCGCCTAAGACCATCGGAAAACACATATATAATTACATATTGTTTTTGTGATTAATCACTATGCTTTAATTATGTTCAATTTGTAACAATGAAAATACATCCTATATATCAGATATTTACATTACGATTCATAACAGTAGCAAAATTACAGTTATGAAGTAGCAACGAAAATAATTTTATGGTTGGGGGTCACCACAACATGAGGAACTGTATTAAAGGGTCGCGGCATTAGGAAGGTTGAGAACCACTGCTTAAAGCTTTTCACAAGGTAAGCTGAACACTATCAGACATCTCCCAGGCAAATTCAAGAAAAGAAGCAAAGGGTAGAAAAAGAAAAATTGGAGACATTTTTCATTCTTCCTACTGGGTTGATTTTTTTAAGATTAATTTAAAAAATATATTTATTGATTTCATAGAGGAAGGGGGAGAGAGAAACATCAATGATGAAAGAGAATCCTTGATTGGCTGCCTCCAGCAAGTCCCCCCCAACCCCTACTGGGGATCCAGCCTGCCACCAGGCACGTGCCCTGACCAGGAATGACCTCCTGGTTCATAGGTGACGCCCAACCCACACCAGACGGGCACTACTGGATGGATTTTAGCAGTCCTTGCATGTTTATCTGACTAAAGCTGACTGTCAACTACAAACGTTTTTTATTACAGCTTTTTTAAAATTTAGAAAAAGAAAAACACAATTTTTCAGTATCTTACACCAAAACTATCTTTCCCATACTTTTCACCACATTACCTCCAAGACTATTTATGGCCACCCCTCACTAGCAGAAAAATATAACAGATTGGCGGATTATGAAAAATGGGTCTGGCAGAAATGCCGAGGAATTTTTTGAGGGTTAGGGGGGTGGAGAACAGGCATGTTTTAGTTCTTTGATGTTTGTTTCAAATTGCCCCAAATTATAAAGTGCTTCCATGTAATTTAATGTGCAAAAGGAGGCACTGCTTAAGAATTTTTCATTTGACCAACTGAGCTTTCACACACACACACACACACACACACACACACACACACACACACACACACAACCTCAAAAGGAAAAAGTTTTAAGTAAATTGCTTAACTGTAACTTGGTATTCTTAAAACAACAACAACACACCTTTTACTCTAATAGGTGAAAACTACTCAGCCGTATTCATGGTAAAACAAACAAACAAACAAACAAACCCACAGGCTGGATGGAAATAGTTTAGCCAAGGAAAAATGCCTGGGGTGTGTTTATTTAGCATACCTTTCTCCCCCCCCCCCCCCACCTCCCCTTTGTCTTTTTGGTGAGGCCTGGTTAAGTTTCCCCCTGCTTCCAGGATTGGATCAGCAACCAGACTTCTAACCTGCTCACCCCCCTCACCCGTGAACCAGCTATGGGTGCAGAACCGGCCCCGCAGACCGGCCTGTGCCCATCCAGCCAGCGTCCGCCCTGGAATACCCGTGCGCACACCTGGCAGAGCTGGGATAAACCTACACGCTGTCCAAGCACTGGAGCCCCTCTCCCCCAATAACAGGGGTAGGGAATGCTCCCCTTTCTCCTGGCGCCGCACCGCCAGCGTGTCCTGCAGAGGGGTGCTGGTACTGCCCATGAGGGCCCAGTGGGAGCAGCCTGAGCGCCAACCATCCCAGGTCCCGCCTTAGTCCACGCGCCCAAACAGCGACCCCAACTCCGCAGCCTGCTCGTCAGTGGGCGCGAGTCCCTCGGGATGTGGGTGTGCGGTCCCCAGAGCTCCTGCCAGCGCGGGGCCAGCGCGGTCCTCTGGGCGGAAAACTTGGGAACTCACAGCACAGAGCGTGACCTCCTCCCGGAGGAAAGGGGGCCCTCGGTGGCCCCCGCCGGTTCCATCGGACGCGCCTACACGGCCCATCCAGGCGCCCTGACTCTGGGCTACTGCGAGACCTGCACTCTGCTCCGCGCACCAGCCCTTAGTGGGGAGGTTGGGGGAGTGAGTGTTTGCAAACCTGCCCAGCAGGGGGGACGCACCCCTATCCTGCCCCTGACCTCCCGCCGCCCCGCGCCCCCTCCGGAACTCCCAACATCAACCTCCTCCCCGGACCCTCGCGTTCCCCGGCTCCACCTGCCCCCTCCCCCAGACCCCGGTCCCGTGCACTCACTCCTTCTGGGAAGCCCAGGGACGAAGAGCCAAGACAGCGGCAGCGGCAGCAGCAGCAGCAGCCGGGCCCGCCCCATCCCCGGGCCGCGGGTCTGGAAATTCTTTTCAA